TGTTTTAAAGGTTCATATAAACACACAGACACATATCTGCAAGTCAGAAAGTATGAAACATATGCTTAAAAGGGATGCTAAATTTACATCGTGTTCAAATAGTGCATAATTCAGACTTTTACTTCTGTTTCTGATTTCCAACTGCAGATAGAACTGTGCAGTGAACACCTGATTGGCAATATAACAGCCTCCAGCTTAACTGGTGACTTGAAGACCATGTCTAAGTTTCCCGCCCTCCTCAGCTAAGTCTTGATGAACCCAGGGAAAGAATTGTTTAGCCAAATGTATTTCTTTCAACTTGCAGTAGAAAATGACAATAAAAATATTTACTATATCAGATAGTTCTTCTGTGCTTTTTACTGATTTAGATGATTAACACTGACAATAAATTAGTATTTTTTTGTCATTTTTCACAAACGGTTTACTATTCTCAGCTGTTAAAGTGGTGGATAGCCAAATATTATATGATAATGTCTTGCCCACTACAGCCATATTTAATAAGGTAAGATTTTAGCTAAACAACGCTGCCAGTATTTTACCATAAAGGGTTTACCATGGAGGCTTTGAAAGACCCCATTACCTGGACATTACCTCTATATGCAACTAAGAGACAGAAACATCATACCATGCATATATCCTACAATCAAGCATTTGGTAAACTCTCGATCATTCTTGCAAGATGTTTAATTTAACAATGTGTATTATTTCAGCCAGCAGCTGTAGACCTGGTTTAAAGTCAATAACTCTGTGTTCCCAAAATAATTTTTTGTCCTTTATGGTTCTTCTTAACAGAAAAAAGAGAAAAAGCACCGACGGTATTTCTGCAGCTTTTTGTTTATTGCGCAATCCAGAAACAAGCCTAGAAACAAGCAGAGTAACCTAAATAAGAAGCACAATCTCTCCTTCTACACACTATGAGGTTGAGCTGGATAATTGATCCATTTTAAAAGTTTGCTTAAGAACACATTTTGTTTTCTACAGTACGTTTGAGCCAGTCACGATATTTAGAAATGTCGGTATAGACATTGGGCACATCTGGGTAGTCACACTTGAAGGCTTGGTTGAATGACACAACACCAACAGCTATCCCGTTGCACACCAGAGGGCCACCAGAATCACCCTGTAAGAATGAGAATTTTTTCAGTTTTTTTTTTAATGTATCTAACAATGTTTGGATTATTAATATACTCCAAACATAAAAGACATACCTGACAGAATCCTTTTCTTGTATTATATCCACCAGCACAGATCACATTGGGTGGAAGCCTATACTGCCACTCCTTATTGCAGACTTCTTTATTGATGATGGACACGCTGACCACTCTCAGATCGTTACTGGGGTTGTTGGTTTCAGTTTTACCCCATCCAGCGACAGAACACATTTGATTGTCATCTAAGTAAATATCATACATTGGAATGCGAATGGTCTTTACTCTGTTGTTAACAGAAGCTTTCCTTGAGAGCTGAAAACACACAAAGGGAAAAAAGCCTTTAGACTTACAAATGTCCAAGTTCTGTTTGCACATCCATGAGTGAAGAAAAATATGTCAACACATTTATAGGATTTAGCTTTTTTCTAATAAAATATAACAAAACAATTACAACTATCAATATGCACAAGTCTTTGTATGTAATATATCATGTGATGCTGATACATTCAGTAATGAAGCGGTCTTGGCTTCGTTTTTATATGTGTCATGGAAAATATTGTTATTTTAATGTTCGATTACAATGAATACCATACTTTACTGGCCTCTACTACAAAACACTTTTTTCTCCCCACAGCATTAAATCCATTCTCAAACAAGTTGTCACTGCAAATATAAGTAGATGCTTGTGAAAATAAAAAGTGGATTTTTTTTACTGTAGTCTTTAATGGAGCTGTGCTTTATGAAATAAAAATGAAGATTTTTCTTAAACATGCAGAGGAAACCAAAAAAAAATGTATCAAAAATTGTTGTGACTTAGCTTTTTAGCTGAATGTTTGTACTCTTCACTATGTTTTGTATAAAGCGTCTTACCAGCCTGTCAGATATTCAATACCATCCAAGTGTCTGCTTATACGTAACAGGACCAGAACAAAAAATTATATTGCCATGTTCTTCTATCTGTTTTTACAACTTTTTTACAGATCTCTAATCTGCAAATTAATTTGTCAAAGCTTTCAATATTTAATGTGTTTGTAATCATGCATTGGTGTAAATAGAGAGTTCATATTGTTTTTATATATTATCCTAAATTATATAATAAAAAAGTAAAATGTACAAAGTTGTTAAATTTATCAGAATCTAATTTCCAAAATTGAGAAAAAAACATATTACTTTACTAGAAGTAAAGCATTATTCTCCATGCTAAAAAAAAAAGTGGAAATGGCATATTCTGAATGTCTCCCTCTTTTTAGGCCTCTGTTCATATAATTTAGGGTTAATATTTGCTAAGATAAACGGTACAAAAACTTTGCACATGTAGAACAATTTCCTTTGTTGAGATTCCATTATAGGTTATTACCATTAAATACTTTCCTCTTTATCATCTAATTCTGTACTTAACCTTTATACAGACGATGCCACTGGGACATTTTGTGTGGATTGACAGGCGAGTCAATATGGAATTATGAGAAATAATGAAAATAATTATACTATTAGTAGTAATACTGCTAATAATATCTAACATAATGTTAATAACAATAATAGTTTTCAAATAAAACTGATAAATGCTGATAAGAATGATAACTGTTATTCATTTAAATTATATAATATAAAGTATTTTATAAAGTTAAAATATACTTACTTTGAGAAGCATGATGTCATTGCCAAACCCTACATCCCGGTAATCCGGGTGTTTGCATTGTTTTTCAATTTTTATTTTCTCTGCATTTGAACTCTTGAGATCATGACTTCCCAAAACAACCACATCAGGTTCGCTGAAATTAATTAGGATAAGGAGGTTATTGATACAGTTCATCTGCAACAAATAAACAGAATTAAAACATAGACTTACGGTGTACCGCAGTGCGCAGCAGTGACCACAAAGTCCTCACTGATCAAAAAGC